CCTCTTGCATCGCGCCGCCGCACCACGCCGACAGTCGCCACCGCCTGCTCCAGTCGCCGCAGCCGCCGCAAGCGAGCCACCCCGCCACCTAGTTCGCCGCCCCGCCTCCCTGCTCGCCGCCGCACCGTCGCCTAGCGCCGCCCCGCGTCGCCCCGCGCAGCCGCCGTCACCCGCACCTCGCCGGAGCTGCGCCGCCTCGCCGGAGTCCGTTCGTCGCCGCCGCCGGTTTTATTTGGCGAACCGGTAAAACCCGCGCAAAACCGATCCGATTTTCCTCGGTTTAGCCAGTTTATTTTAGGGTTCGGTTTTCGTTTAAAAAAATGGTTTAGTTTTTTTAGTTAGATCTATTTAGAGAACGTTCTCTGTTTAAGAACTAGTTAGCGAACGTTCACTTTTTAGTTTTTTTCTTTTTTCTGTTAGTTTTAGACAAGGACCTCTTTGTAGTATTTCTTTTACAGATTAGTCCCTATGCTTCAAACCTCTACAACTTTTTACTCGTTAGTTCAAATCCAATGAAACCAACGCTCACGTCTTCGCTAGGATCTCCTCTATCCATTAATCCAACTCAAACATGTTTTTTGAAAAGTTAAAAATTTGAATTAGATCAGATTTGAATTCAAACTTCGTTTGATCATAACTTGAGTTTCGTAGCTCCGTTTCAGTTGATTCTTTTTGCAAATCGAAGCTCTTGACCTAAAAATTCTAATAAGGCCAAATTCACATAATTTTGGTACTATTAGAAATTGTTTTATGCTGCAAGAGTTATTCGTTTGGTTTTGAAGTTTTCCAAATCGCCCTCTTCGCCCTTTCTGATCTTTTGAGTGATTGCTTATGTGTGGTTACTGTTGCTTGATTACGATAGATTGACCGGAGTGTGATGAGTAGATCTATCAAGAGTTTTGTGTGCAAATAATCTTCATCAACATTGCAGGCAAGTTCACACTTTGATTATATCCCCTTTCATACCCAGTTTTTATGCATTAGTTTCACCCTCAAACATTGCATGAGTAGGATTGATAACATGTGGGTATTGGGAAGTAGTTGATGAGGTAGGAACCTATTGCCCTGCATTCAAACCTTGGGAGTTACTATTACGTTATGCTTACATTGCCATGCTATGCTCGTAGACGTGGATTGGGTTTGAGAGTATTTCATGACAGATATGAGATTGTTAATTAATGGTTCAACTTAAGGTGGCAACTTTAATACACATCTGGGTGGATTGCTAGGGCACCCTGGGGATATACCAGTGGACTTGCCCGGACACCTGGGGAAATACCAATGTTGTCCTAGGAGATCCCGGGGATATACCGTGTGATCATCCTACGGTCCACCACCCAGGCTCAAAGGGATCATGAGATTATTCATACTAGAAACTTCCGTGTGCAGCCACAAGCTATTATGGGCTCTAGCATAGTTGATTAAGTTGTGTGAACTCTTACAGTGGTAGACTAGCAGATGTAGGGGTTGTAGGTGGTACGATCTACCCATCGTAAGGTGCAAACGCTTCTGAAAGACTATGTCTCGGTCATCCGTTTCTCAAACACCATGTAGTGCGAGAAATCCAACGGAGGAGATCGAGTCTTGTGGGGAAAAGTGCGCAAACCTCTGCAGAGTGTATAAACTAATCATGATTAGCCGTGTCCCCGGTTATGGACATCTTGAGTCTCTGGTACTTGGATTATCCTGTTGATCTCATCACGTTACTTTAAATTAAGTTTGTTAGGTTTAATGATGTTATTTAATTAGGATTGAGAATGCTGTCAACCATTCTCAATGTTCAACAACCACCATGATAGTTAAATAAAATTTATTCCTTTGTAGTAGGGAAAAATTGGCTTTTCGCAAAACCCTTATAACCATAGAGCTTTTCCACCAGCCAAATATGCATGTAGTGATAGCCTTTATTCATCATTCTCTATGGTGTGAATTTGCCAGTACATTCAATGTACTGACCCTCTGTGGCTGCAACGTCTCATGTTGCAGGATATCTTACGACGAGTAAGTGATACGTTAGGGTTACGATTTCTACACTCAACTTTGCCGTTGGTGTTGATGGGAATCCACAACCTTGTTACTTCCGCTATTTTGGATTGAGTTAATAGTATTTACGTTACTTTATACATGTGATTTACCTCTGTTATAAATCCTCGAGTACTGTGTGTGTCAGCATACCGATCCAGGGATGACACTTAAGAACAGAGACTTGATCCATTCGGGTCGGGTCGCTACATTAAAGGACTTCAAGATATCTGCACAGTCTGTCTCCACCTGGATAGGTAAGGGAGTCCAGTGCGATGCCAGATTCAGGCCCTTCTCACATGCCGATAACTCCGGCTCCAGTGTGCCCAGGCAGTTATGGATCCATCTGCATGCCGCGTAGATAACCACACCCGTGTGATCACGTAGGATCATATTGGCACCGGCCGTTCCATCTGCATGTACAAAGGAACCATCAAAATTGAACTTTGCAACACCGCATGGGGGAGGTATCCAACTGGGTTGTACGCTGGGCTCCAGCTTATGTTGAGCACCATTGTTGGATAAAAGAGTTGGTTGCTTCCCCTTGAGGACATCCACCTCTGGCCCCTGTTTGATGAGTAGCAATGAATCGACATAGCTACAGAGAAATTTCTTCGACGTCTCAACAGGGATCAGTGGCTTGTCATCGTCAGCGGTCTGACTTATGGCTCTTCCGCACAGATTGCTAATAGAATCAAAATAGGACATTCTTTGCGAGGTTTACGTATTTGTATAAGCCCATGTCCAACTCTGATTACTAGACAATGGTCCCTTATTAATTATATATCATCCTATATGAATGTCTATTTGCAACTCATATTTTGGTGCGATATAGCTATGGTACTTGATAAGGCGTCATAGCATAAAAAATCACCCGGTACATTAATTTATAGGATACTTGTTTACAATACTAACACAATAATGCATAACATTACAAACTAAGATCCTAGTATCTTCATATTTATTTATTTCTAACATCTCAATGAAAGCTATTTACATGGTCTATTTTTATTAGTTTTTCTAGATCTATGTGCCATCATACAATAATAGAGCATGATACTTATAAGACCTCTCTTTGTTAATTCTTGTGTCACATCGGCTTATTATCAATTGTGCTGCAGTTCAGAGTACCTTTAGGCTTCTGCAATGATGTTCAGACCCGAGTATCATACTTTTTGGGACTTTTCCAACAATGCCCCTCTGTCCATTCATTGGCCCGCCACCCCATGATGTTGTTTGATTGTTATTTCTTTATATACTAGGGGCAACATGGTCATTTAATAACCTCTAGGAAGGGACTAGGGACTTTTTAGTCTCTGAAAACAAACAGGGAGGGATATTTTAGGGACTAGAGACTTTTTAGTTGGGACTAGAAAAAGTCCTAGGACTTAAGAACCAAACAGGGCCTAATTCCACTCGCATGCGTGCATGCAGATGTAGTTCCGGGAAATGAGTACTTTCTCTCTCCCATGATCTGGTGTGGACATCGTCATCCAATCAGCGAGCTCTCTCTCCCATGGATTGGCCCACATCTGTTTACTAAAGGCCAAGGATTAAGAGAGGACATAACTGTGCTTTGGGAGACGTACAGGCGTGGGGCGTTCGATCGAGGCAAAGGCCTTGTAAACACGTACGCGCCTACACTGCCTACCGGACCTGTAAACCAGGACGAAGGTAGTAATTGATAAGGCATCGTAGCATAAACAATCATAAAGTAGTATAAATTATGGAATACTAGTTTATGATACTAACACCATAATGCATAACATTATAAAAAAGTATTCAAGTATCACCATATTTATTTATTTATTTATAAATTCTTAATGCGAAGCTATTTACAAGGTCTCTTTTTATTAGTTTTTCTGGATCTATGTGCTATGATACTGTAGTAGAGCATGATTGTAATATGACCTCTCTTTATTAATTGTTGTGCCACATCGGCTTATTATCGATTGTACTGCCATTGTGCAAGGCATAAGAACGTCACGCTACGAAGGTGCCCTTATTAGATTTACACAATGATAGCACGCTTGCTACTTGCATCCTAGGCTCGGTTGTGAAGCAGATCGGCTGGTAGTTGGATCTATCATCCTTTTGATGGGTGTGTCGACACAACTCAATCAAGTCTATCCAGAAATAAAACCTAAGAGGCCCCATGAACGAGGTCCACAAAAGATGCATATAATACATTGTACATAATCATCAAGGCTTCCATCAAGCTATGCATGCGGACCCTAATGGACATATCTGTAGGTTGTTTGCTAGGACCTAATTAAGCCTGGTCTTGTTCCTGGCCTAGAGGAAAAATAATTTTTTTGTCCATTTCCCATAATAGTAAATGTCCAAGGCAGGTGGTTTCGAACAACTAACCAAGAAATAAACTGGGCAAGTTTCCTATAATTCTTAAAATGCAACCGAAGATATATGGCTCCCTTTAAATTAGAAGAATATTCACGGCCATTGAACTACGTAATACCTCTTTTTTCATCTATAGTTGTTAAATTTGTAGAAGTAATTTTGGTAAATCTATAATTCTAGCTACATAATACCTGACATGCTAAATACATGTGCACGCTAGGCACTAAGTAAGAAGAATTACCTAATTTTGTAAAGCTTATCATTCAACTTTGGTATACTTCAGATGGTATTAAAGGAAATAAACCATGTTCTCAATGCATGACTAAAATTTCACGCGACCATCTTTTAAACTGACAAAAAAGTGGTCAGCGGTCTCTCTTATGGCACTTCCGCATAGAACGCCAGTGGAATCAAAATAGGTCTATCTAAGCGATGTTTACGTATTTTTCATAACCCTAAGTCAAAAATTTATTACAAAGCAATTGTCCCCTTTCTGATTATATATCATGAAATAAATATGTCTAGTTGCAACTCATATTTTGGGTCCATATATGTAAGCTACTTGATAAGGCATCATAGCATAAACAATTATTCAATAGTATAATTTATAGGAAACTAGTTTACGATGCTAACAGCGTAATGCATAACACTAAAAATTAGTGTCCTATTATCATCATCTTTATTTGTCTATAACTGTTTGATGCAAAGCTATTTAGAAGGTGTATTTTTACTAGTTTTTTTTGCTGGATCTATGTGTCATGATACAGTAATAGAGCATGATTCTAATATGACCTCTCTTTTTAATTGTTGTGCCACATCGGCTTATTATTGATTGTACTACAATATACATCAATGATTCTCCCACCGTGCGAGGCATAAGAGTGTGATGCCACCAAGGTCTGATTATTATATTTACACAATGTTACCACACTTGATACTTGCATCCTACACTACTAGGGAAAAACCTTATACACAGAAGCTTAATAGTAGCGTGGGATAAAAGGGGGCACTATTGCTCATTAGCAGTACGCGTATGTACATAGGGCGCTACTGCTATTTACATACCAGTAGCACGGCTAGAATAAAAATCGCTACTACTATAATCGCCACACTGTTGCCAACAAGCTAGGTATAGTAGTAGCACCCCTGCGGTGACCGCGCTACTACTAACTTGATTGTAGTAGCGCCAGTCCGTGGCCTGCGCTACTGCTAAGACGGCCTTATCCCCCCGCCCCGTCCATTTCCTCACTCTCCCTCTCTTACTGCCACCGTCGCGATCCCCGACCTCCTCCTACCATCGCCGCTGTCGCCGCATTGCCGCCATTGTCGCCGCATTGCTGCCGGCGTCGCCACCATCCCTCGGCCTCGGTAAGCCTCCTCCTTATCCTCCATCCTCTAGCTGCCCCTCCTCCCTCCTCCGCC